ATTATAAAGTATATGCAAACTAGAAAGGCCGACATTTGCTTGGGAGCAAATACAGCATATTTCAGTCCATCTCCCTCCCACGCAAAAGTAGACTATTCCAAACTTACCCCAGTGCAAAACTGGCAAAGGTTCTCAAATAAATGAATTAAATAGTAGCTATATGAGAACAAAGATGCAAGAACAAGTACTTTGAATCTCGTAAGCTTTACTAATCTTATTACAGGTATGGAAATACTAACAATGATGAGATTTTATACATTTTGAAGGTCTTAGGCACATAAAATTGAAAGTGTGGGTCATTACGCATGACTTAGGTGCAATGTGACCTCAGGTAACCCACAATGGAACACGTGTTCCATGGATGGAACAGGCCATTCTTTGGATAGAACATGGAACGGGTACAGCACTTTTGGCCCTTTTTTTGCTGAAAATAGCCATTAAAGTCCCCCAAATGAGTCATTTGGAAGTGGTGTATGCCAAATACGTGACTGCTGTTCTGTAGACACATGTTCAAGGTACCCTTATACCGAATGTCATATCATTTGGTTGTAATACCAGGGCTCAGGATCTAAAAATCCATTTTTTGGCAAAAAATGCCCCAAAAAAACCTTCATAAAAATTTTTCAAAGGCATTTATCAAAAAAATGAAAAAAATGCATCTGGGTGTTTGCCCACTCTACCTCCATGCCAAATTTTGGGTCATTTGGCTGAATGATGGCGGAGTTGAAGCCCTCAGAGCAAGTGGCAGGAGAAGGAGAAACATGAGGGAACACAATATATTTCATCCATACCATGGTATGGACTGAAATATAAATATTTCATCCATAACTGAAATATAATTACTAGTATAATTTGGAAGGCACTTACCAGCCTTTTTTTAAGCCCATGCACAATACCTTACTTGTTTAATGACCAATAAACACAGCTATTTTAAGGAGATCTATAATTTTGTTTTTTCTAACATGATCTTGATAGGTAGATAGGTAACAGCTTGTATGAATACCTTTTCAGAAAGTCCTACCCCCACCCCCCACACATATATAACTTAACGTTACACAACTTAAACAAACTGAACCAGTCAAAGTTCTCTCTCCACACATCTTCCTGTCATGGGTGGCCCTCAGATTGAAGGAAAGTTCGACTTGATTATTTCCTACCATCATAATTTGTTCGCGCTGCAAGCCCTGAAGTAGCAGATAATTTTCAGCACAGACAGGCATGACAATCCCTTCTCATAATGGTCAAAATACGGTTCGATTTAGGCTGTCCAGCAGCCATCTTAAGAACTCAATATGTTCCTCAGTACACCTATCAATCATCTAAGTATGTTTTATGTTACTTTGGATGAGATTATAACCTCACTTACCTGTCAATTCCATGCAGTAGTGCTGCGACTGTCGCTCTCATAGCTTCCGCCATTTTGACCACATGTATACCTCCTCTCTGGTGCCTCAGCGCCGCCTATACACTGAAGTCATATTGCAACACTAGACGCTCAGTGATGACGGCTAGCGACATTGCTGTGAACTGCACCGTTGCCCTTGGCAACAACATGGCGTGCAGGTGGAATCCATAACAAACCGAGTGTCCTTTATGCCGGTGCATGTTTCTGGATGATTTGCGGTTGCTGCTCTCTTTTACGTTTGCCAAGTTTTCGGATTCATCATGCCGGGGCATATCCAACAGAAGAAGAGAGTTGAAGACCGATACAAGTAAGTTGTTGATCAGAAAAGGACTAGAACTGTTTCACCAACTTAAAACTCCACTCGTGAAATTTCATCTGCCACTTGACTTACCCTTACAGCATGCTATATAGAGTTGAAAAACACTTACTACCATAAAGGAACTGCTTGAACGATGGAGTTTATAAATTCCACTGCTATTTGTGTATTCTAAACCTTTCCTCAGTTTTATAAAAAGTCCAAAGGGAAATTCGTCAATGGTGGAAAGTTAGACCCTTTAGCTCATACACAGGTGGTTTCTAGGTAACATTGAGTTGGGACGGTAACGGTAGTGGTTTGTCACCCAAAATACCATGGAGGCTGTGACAGAGAGTATTTTTTTACTTATTTCCAACTAATGATTTCGGAGTCATGAATATTTCCTCGCGTTGTCCCGGTCACGTTATATTCTTTACAACTTGTCAAGATTGTTTTGGTAGTGGGAATAAAATGGCGGCTTTATCGAGTTTGGGTTCGGATTAGACAAACAATGGTCGCTCAAAGGGACCCTAATTCTGCCCCACCGACGTGTATTATTTGTCGGTTCTGCTAGGTTAAACTCGTTTGTTGCGGCCTCCTTAAAGAAAAATCACACCTGTCCTGAGATCTCCCAGCCCTCCGGGTGTCCCATTGTCACGTCGAGTGGAACATTCCACCTGTTACACGCACTTGTGCGACTTGAGAAGAAAAATTAGAAGAAGGGAAAATATGTTTGTGTCTGTTTTCCTCTCGCCTGTGCACTTCAGCCCACAGTATGCAGCGCCACTGTTTACCCAGCAAACCTTGATAAAACACCACCCCATGTCCCTGCCAGGCCTGACCCGAATCTGCCTATTCCCAGCCACCAACCGTGGCGCCAATGAAAGCAGAGCTGATAGCTGGAGAAAAAGGAAGACGGATTGGTGGGCTTAGGGACATGCGAGCATTCTATACGTCTGGATCATACTTACGGGCTTACCAAAACCAATGGTCCATGAAAGATGGAACATTACTTACACTTTTGTGGGCCTGAAAAATGGAGTAATTTGTTTAACAGACAGCTGGGAAAATCATCAAATGTTGAAATAGACAGCTGAATCATTTCCCACTTTCTCATATTGACCCTGAAAGGATAAGTTTCACCATCTAGCAATTAATGAACTTGAGAATGTACAGACATGGCATATCATGTATCTAAGTTAAAGAAAATGACAATCAGGAACATGCAGTTTAGAGCAAAGATTTTTGATGATAACAAGTTCTGTGGAATAATAAATTTTTGTTTAGACACCTTGGTTTACAATTGTGTTTTCTCCAGTCCCAACACCTACAGGATCTTCAATGACACCATCCCAGACGCCAGCCTGCCCCCCATGGCCAGGCCACCCCCTCCAGTCAAACAGACAGGCAGGGACACACCCCCTCTCCCCATCAAAAAAGGCGGCGACACCAGGGGGAACATGCCCCACCCCCTGGATGTAGGCTTCCTCAGGAAGGACCCTCGCCTCATCAACGAACCGATCTGTCATGTCAGCACGTGGGACACAGCACACATACAGCACCAGTGGTGGCCTGACAAGGTAGGTAATCACTCATAACCTATTGACTTATTAACAAACTGATCTGTCATATCAACACATAGCTAGCAGTGGTGACCTGACAATGGTTATTAACTCATTGATAAACCTATTAACCAGCCCACAGGCACAGCACATATCCAACAAATTTGCTCTGACAAGGCATGACACTTAAAATAAGTGTGTAATGAGACTTAATGTCACGATCACAATGTCTGCCTCCTCCTCACAGGTTCCAGACGACACTAGGAAACAGCCAGACTTTGACCCCTCCACGACCCAGAGAGCAGACTACCTGCTGAAGGATGGGACTCCGCCTGGACAGACTAGACATGCCAGCAACCCTAACACATCACCTGCACATGGGATAGGTATGTCAGCTTTAAACCTAGGTCTACACAGGTTAAAATGATATTATATGACAGAATTTGATTATCATATTTTAACTGGTGCATAAATTTGCACGTTCTAGGTTAACACTTCACTAATTCAAACACACTTGCTGGTGGTATCTGGATGGAACACAGCCTAATTTCTGAATTAGCTTATTTCATGATATGTAGGCTGCAACTGTGGTTGTGGCCAAAGGCATGATGTAATGTCCATTCTGTATTCTTTAGCTCCCGTGACGTTTCTACGCCCCCGGAGTGCAGACTGTCCTCGAGTGCTGCTGGAACAGATCTCGTACCAACACCAGTACAATAGCCGACTCGACCCCAACGAACCAATCAGGGCCAAGGTGAACAAACTTATCTTTTTACAGAGACATCCGCTGTGTTCAGTATTCAGCACACAAGTACTCAGAAATCCCAACCTCATTCTGTTATTCTCCTTTTGAACAAATGTGTATGCTGTTGATTGAAGTAGTATACAATTTGACTAATTGAAAGTTATCTCTAATCTCAAGAACTTCATACATTTTATTCTTTTTCAAATTTGTCTCCACAGCGTCATGGCAGTTTTGTGTGGAGCAACTTGAAACCATCTGTCCCATCAGAGGTCCCTTCTGAAGCGAGCTCGTCCCATGCCTCCTCACAGGAGGGGTCCCGCAGGCCATCTGATGCCCTGGAGGAGCCAAGAGGAGACCTGGAGCCTGAGGGGAGGCTAGAGGATGCCTCGTACCCAACGCCTGCAAACCAGGCTATAGAGGCTGCACCAGAAGAGCCTGCATCCGTCCTTTCTGCATCCAAACCTAAAGCTCTGACACCAAAAGCCTCCAAACCCACGTCCATCATTCACTCGCCTGAGGCAAAACCTCAGTCTGGGAATGGCCGTTCCCCAGCGGGATCCAAACCTGGTTCAGCCGGCTCACAACATCAAATGTCCAGAGCAGCTTCAGCACGGTCCATCCAGTCAGTCTTTACAGCAGGAATTCCACAGCTGACCAGGGCTCCATCGGGGTCACTGGTCATGTCTGCCCCTACGTCCAGACGAGGTAGCGCCGGCTCCCTCAGGCCTCCGTCCGACCACGTGGGAACTCCTGTCAGACTGCCACCGGGCAAGTCCATACAGGACCTACAGGGGCCACTCAAACTGCAGGTGCCGTCAGGAACAGGTGAGCCCCAGGTGACAGAGCAGGTGCCTCTACCTGCAACAGGTGCCTTGTCTCCTGGAGGCAGCTCTACTGCAAAGAGGAACATGACCCCAGTTGCCACGGAGGTCTTTCAGCCAGCTGACCTGTACCAGCCATCAAACTCCCGCCCTGAAAGCACAAAGTCGTCTCGGAGCAGTGGACGGGGTTCGTGGAGGGCACGTGCTTCTGCCGGGTCTGTCCATGCACAACCTGTGCCTGAAACACTGCCACCTGTTGGCTGAACAATGAACTGCAGAGCTGAAGTGTGACTCTTTGGATGCTGGGCCTTAAATATAGAATTTTAAAAAAAGACCGGTCACTTATATCTGGAAAAGCATTTTTAAATACTGAAAAGTACCATTTTTTTATGTCCTACATTTTGACTTCTAACTGGATATACAGAAAAATTTGTATCCTTCATTTTGAAGTGCTTGATTGTGTCCCTAGTGTATTAGTGATAGATTTGTTTCTAGTTATACACATATTTGGCTTTGAAAATGAGTTCCAAATTTCTCAAGGCTTTCCAAGTCATAAGTTACCATTGTTATGTTTCACATACATAGAAACTGCCAAATAATTTTTCTACTCATCGTTTTTCACCAAAAAATGCTGTAGTGTCTATATGTAACAATGTCCACAATGTCACTGAAGTGTTGTGCTAAGTCTGGTGTGGTGTTTGTACCTTAAAATGTGACGCAATAGTTAATGACTGCATCTTGCTGCTATATGATATTGTGATATTCTACTGCATGGGCCAAACTTTAAAGTTCAGTGTAGATAGTAACAAACCAGATGATATAGCAATACTAGAGGATATTCACAAGTGAAACAATAATGTTGAACAACAGTGATACGGCCACATGCTGCTAACATTATCTGTATATACCAATCAAATTAACCCAGACATTTTCTAGGATTATGTCAACCAAGCCAAGGGCATGATCAATTCACCAGATAAATACCAATTTTTTTCTAAGAATATACTTTATTCTTAGTAAACAATGCTGAATTGAATACAATAATAATCCATATGTACAAAAGAACAATGAAATATATATTACAAGTAAACCCTTTCTTTGCAGATTACTATTTTCACAATGCACAAAGATGTCACATCTTTTAAAGAGTACAGTATATATACATGTACAACTGATAGAGACTTTCTGTTTCTTGGTTTAGCTATAACAGTTTATTCTCTTCATTGCTTTTTCTGCTTGACCTGTTTGATGCCCTTCCAGTAGTAAAACTTGTCAAAGATGGAGACGTATTTCTTGGAGAAAAGATTCCGGATGGCATGATTCTCCTTGAAGCAGCGGGTCAAGGGCGTGTCGTTCTCGGTCACAAGTGAGAGGTCAAATCTGGGGAAGAGTCTGTGAAAATATCAGCAAAAAATGGTTTACTAGTACCCGGTATGTGCAATCTACAACATGTTTTGTTATTCTTCACTAATATCAACTATTTGTTTATTTTGGAGAAAAAAGTCTGCTGGACTGCCGATCAGCACCAGTGACAGACCCATACAGGAGCAAAATTGGTGACTTAACCTTCTACAGCGTCTATCATCTCACTTTCCTGGTCTTCCTTTGTAGATTGACGGGACCAGTGAAACTAGCCTGTGTTAGACAATCTCTAGATGCTATGGGATAACTTTCTAGTCAGTCTAGTGGGCAGCTAGGCACATGATTTAGTCAGGCTAAACTTACGCTGCAGGGTTGGCGATGTTCTTGGTGAAGTTTTCAGTAGAGAAGACAGCGGCAGCGGGGTGTGTGCTGGTCTGCCCCAGGATGACGGTGTTGGCCAGGTCCAGACTCTGCTCCCAGGACAGCTTCATGTCCGAGCACATGTTCAGGAAAATGTACACTGCTAACTCCACCCACTTCTCACCCGTCCGGATCAGACACTCTGGGGCAGGGAGAAAAGTTTGACAGTTGGTGAACCATAAGGCAAGAAAAAATGAACATTTAAGTTTGTTGCATTCTTTTATGTGCAAAGGATTAATTCCTGAAGCTCTCCCATACACAGGAGTACATCTCACAGGATCACATCCCAGCATATATACTGGGTTTCTTAGCACACTTGATGTGTGTTGCAAGGCAAGGTAGAAGCACCCACCATCTGGCTGGGGAGTGAGTGGGCAAGTCAGGCCAGCTACTCGACTGTCCTCTAGGGCAGAGCACACATCCTTAGACACCTCCCACCTGGCCTGGCCATCATCTTTCCAGCTGAACTCCGGCTTCAGCACGTTGGAGAATCTGAGCAGAGGTTTGGAAAAAAAAAACAATTGATGCCTGGTGGTGCATGCCATGGGGCATCTTAACTTACTTTAATACTCTATATAGAGATAGAGGTATTTGTTAATTATTAGGAACCGCCAGCCCTGCACCAGAGAAATGTCCATTGGCAAATGTTTTTGGTCAGTACACACTCTGTAGTGCTCGTACTCTAAAGTGTGATGGGTTGTTTATAACCTGCTTAGAATAGAAAACCAGCACCTTAACATCTGACCCTCACCCACCTGAATATCTGTTTGAAGCGTGGGAGGGGCACCCCAATCACAAAGCTGTACACCGTACAGTGGGCAGCAATGCGACCTTTGATGTCCTCAGCCACAACAGGCAGCTGTGAGGGCAGACAGCACAGGAATAGCACATCACTGGAGGCTGCCACCCTTCTGTTGTCATAGAGACATGTCACACCTTGCTCCTCCAGTTTCACTGGGGGGGGAGGGTAATAGTT